GTCAGGGGGTTGCAGAGCCAGAAGGTCCCCCCTGAGCCTCCTTTTCTCCAGGCTGAGCCCCACCAGCTCCCTCAGCCGCTTCCCAAAGTGTTGCACTGGGAGAATTCCAGGTTGGAAGGGATCAGATTTAATTGCAGAAGACCAAGGTGCCCTCTGAGATATTGCTGCAAATCCTAAAAGGCTTCTTGGTTCACTGGTTTCAGCCTGATTTACTTTGTGGTATCAAGTATGTGACTGTCACCTGTATTATATTAATTTCTCAGAGCCAGATTTTGATTTGGGAACCTATTTCCCATTGAAACTGTGAATGGATTGGATGGGTGATGGATTTCCTTTCCTGGTCTCTCCATCATCTGTAAATGGATCTTACTGACAGACAAAAATACCTGTAAAGTGTGTGTGTGGATATGTACCTGCAGGTTTTTTTTCCTTTTGCAAATGAGGAGAGATTTAAGCACCAAATCTTTGCAGTTCAAATAACAAGAAAAGCCACCAGCCCAGGATTCGTGGGGAAGTGAGGCTTGGAGAGGACAACAAGGAGATGATGAGGGCTGAGCCTCTCCAAAGTCTGAAGGTTATAAGTTTCTCTGTGACTTAGTTCTCCCTCTAAAAAATGAACCAAACCACAACACCCCTCTGGCCCATATTAAAATATGATCCAATCTTTACAAAACGGGGACGAGTTTCCACAGAGGAATAATTCCACAGAGAACATTGCACCACCATTTAGTGGGTGATGGATTTTGTTCTTTCCCCCCGTTGCTCAGGTGCTCCCCTGACAGTGGCAGGGGGGATTTGAGGAGACTGATGCCATTTTTCACACAAACATTTAATTAGCTGACATGGCATCGCCCTCAGCTTGTGCTTGCAGATTCCTGCAGGCCCATCCATTGAGGGCTGACAGCTGAGTCAGGGCCATAAACCCCCCATAAATCTGCTTTAGTGCCTGCTGGTGTTTAGTTAACAACAGGACATAATCTCGTTGGAAATCTCAATGAAATCATCGTGTTTTCCTGCTTTGATAAGACAAAATTAATTCAGAGTTGTAGCTGGGTCTGGACTTGTGCCCGTTGGCATTTCAGTCTCTACCTGAGTGAACTCCAGCTCATCTCACCATAGAACTGGAGCACCACAGAATCCCAAACTGGTTTGGGTTGGAAGGGACCTGGAAGATCATCCAGTTCCACCCCCTGCCACGAGAAGGGACACCTTCCACTAGCCCAGCTTGCTCCAAGCCCTGTCCAACCTGGCCTTGGACACTCCCAGGGATGGGGTGCAGTCCTGCATCCCCCACCAGCATCTCTGAGATGTTTGGCACCAGCAGGTACCAACCCAGGGCTGGTGCCAGGCTGAGCACCCAGCTGGCAAGTGGGCAATGCTGGTTTTTTAACTTGCCCATTTTAACAACTTCAAAGCTCTGGTTTGAACAACTTGGGCACAAAACACATTCAAACCACATTATCAACACCTGGGCAGAGACAGATCCAAATCTAAGTCCACAGCAGCTTCAGCCTCAGCACAGTCCCCCTCCTGCAATGTTTCTTCTACCTCTGTTTCTGGGTAGGACCTTGCAGCACTTGCCACAGCTCCTTGCTTAGTGGTCAGGAGGTGATAGCTGGCAGCAGATGACAGAGCTCCCTGTGAGGGGTTCTCAGGAAATTGCCCCCTGGGCTAGGAAACAAGCCCAGTATGGGAGAGCCAAGAATTCAAAAATTATCCAAAATAGAGTAAGCGTTTCCCAAGTGATGCAGGAAAGGTTGTTATTGGGATTCTCTGGACCTTGAACTTTTGTTACTTAGAATCATGGAATCACAGGATATCCTGAGTTGGAGGGAACCACCAGGATCATCCAGTGCAACTCCTGGCCCTGCACAGACACCCCAACAATCCCACCCTGGCCCTCAGAGCCTTGTCCAAACCCTCCTGGAGCTCTGGCAGCCTTGGGGCTGTGCCCACTGCCCTGGGGAGCCTGGTCAGTGCCCAACCACCCTGTGGGGGAAGAACTTTCTCCTGAGATTCAACCTGACCCTGCCCTGACACAGCTCCAGCCATTCCCTGGGTGCTGTCCCTGCTCAAAGGGAGCAGAGCTTGGAGCTGCCCCTCGGGAGGAGCTGCAGACCCTGCTGAGGTCTGACCTCAGTCTCCTCCAGCTGAACAAGCCAAGTGACCTTTAATCTCCCATTCTGCACCATTTTTAGATGAACACTGGGCTTCACTTTTCCCATCTGCAGCAGAAGACAATGGTATCTTCTCTCCTCTGGGTCTGAACATGAACTCAGATTTGCAAGAAGTCAAATCCTTGGTGCTGAGAGCCGTGTGCCCAGGGAGCCAATGTCAGTGCAATAAATAGTTCTCCTCCTGATTTACACTCAGCAAAAGCAAAACCGTGGTACACTGTCTCTGCTAGGCAGTTTTTTCCCTATTTTGGGCTCCCTGTGCTCACACTCTGCCTGTTTCAATTCCTTGCCTGTGCCTTTTGGTGCTGTAAGAACACTTGTCCCCTCTGGATCTCCCTTTGCCCCACAGACCAGCAGGAAACACGGGACTGCTCCAGGCCAGAGGGAGCACAGCAGGAGTTTCAGCTGTTCTGAAATATGTGGCAACACATTTCCCCCCCTGCCTTGTGAAGATATGGACACAACACACACGTGTAAGAGCAGCCCTTAAAATAAGACCTAAAAGTCACAGTGATGTTCACATCATCTGGCAAAAAGGCTCCTCCAGGGCACATTCACGTATATTTGTTATTTCCTCAGCCATGCACTGGCTTCTGGATGTACTGAGTAATTTGAAAGCTTTTTTCTTATTAGTTTCATTTTTTTTTCCCCACTACTTTGGCTCTTCACCAAGAGGAGACTTAATGTGAAATGTTAAGATGTGCACAATTGGCTTATTCGTGACCCTGGGCGGTGTTTGCATTAGAGATGAGTCAAATCACATGTATTGTTTAGGGGTCTTACCCGTCCTGATGGGTTTTTTGATGCCCTCCATGGCAGGATCAGGTGCCTGAAAGAGAATAAAGAGAAGGGATGGTTATCCTGGGAGCAGGGCATAGCCATGTTCAAGTGCAACCCTGCCTTAAAAGTGCATCTAAAGTGTTTTCCTCACCACAGACCTGTTTTTCTAACATGTTTTTCTCACACAGAATGTTTTCTAACATTTCTGATGCAGTCAGTGACTCTCTCAGGGCAGTAAGAAATGTGTGTGGGTTCTTTTGGGGCTGTTTCAGAGGAACAAGCCCTGAAAACCTCCATGGAGTGGCCAGAGTGGGATGGACACCCTTGAGAACCAGAGTTTGCCCCTGGGAAGACAAGGCTGGGTGATAACTGAAGCCCCCAAACAGGTCTGAGCATGAAAATGTTGTCCTGCCTCACCTCTGCTCCTACTTTTTGCTGGGATGTAAAACCAGGGGTCAAAATGGTGCAGGGGATTGTCCTCAATCAGTGTGACATGAGAACTTCCCAGGAAACAAGCTCCAAGGCTGGAATGCAGCAGGATTCCTCTGAGGTCTTGCCTCTGATTCATCACAGCTCTGCCACCAGACACAGGGCCCCGAGGGCTGTGCTTGCTTGCATGTTATTCCACACAAGTGAAGTCCCTGACAGCTCAGAAACCTCCAGCGATGCCCTCCAGGAGCAAAAAGTTCTCTCAAGAGCTGAGGAAAGACCCTGAGAGTCCCTCAGTGCTGGAAACTCTGTGTCACATCCTTTCACTGTCACACACCAAGTGGTCCCACCGGGATTTTTGATATTAAGGCTAAAACAGCTCCTCTTACCTGGGTACAAACCAAGTGTGGGGACTAACCAGGCTAAGTCCAGCTTACCACAGATCTCCAGAGTGTTTGGAGGTGGAAGGGACCCATAAGCATCATCAAGTCCAACTCTCTGCTCCTCACAGGACTACCTAAAACTAAACCATCTGACTGAGAACAGCTTCCAGCTGCTCCTTGAGCTCTGTCAGATTTGGTGCCGTGACCACTTCCCCTGGGGAGCCTCTTCCCACCAGCATGTCCAAGAAGAAGAAAGCTGGGAACCTGGTACCAACTTTAACAGAACATCTGCTATCTCCTGGGAGAAATGAGGCCCATCATGAGAAACAATTTCAGTGCTCTGTGTAGTGGTCTCACAACATGAGCACTTTATTTCTGTGTGTGAATTAAATAGCAGGTGGTGAGGGGAGAAGGAAGATGGTTGGACAGTGAGAGAAGTCACGTTGGGCCAGTTTGTGGTACTTCATCTTTTAGTCTTAAATGTTTAGGAATAGTTTTAATTAGAGTTTGGCCTACTGTGACCATGTTCTCAGCCATGCTGAAGTGTAGAGCTGTGTCTGCTCCCAGCAAAGCAATGCTTTGGTCTAATGCCAAATTCTGCGTCCTGCAGAGGTGGCAGAGGTGCTTCCAGGTGGGCTTGGCAGTGCTGGGTTAATGCTTGGACTCTATGACATTGGAGCTCTTTTCCAGTTTAAATGACTCTGTGGTTCTCCAGCAAATTAGATATCTGTAAAAAGTCATTTGTGCATTTTTCTCCTCCCACGCCTGAGTAAGGAATGGGCAGAGTTACCTGTTGAGACAGGATTTCTCCAGGTGACCTTCCTAAGCTGTGCAGGAAAGCTGCTGGGGTGGGAGATGAACAAAAACTGAGAGGTATGGTTTGAAAAACCAGGTGTTTCCAAGCTTTTTGTCCCCTACCCCACATCCTCCCTCACAAACCCTCCTGGACTCTGTGCACACAGATCATCACATCTGGGACTGAGGAGAGTTTTGGCTGAAAAGCCTCCCAAGGACCCTCTGCCAGAACCTCTCAACACCTTTCTTTGCCCCCTGCTCTGGGCTACCCCTCTCACACACACTCAGGGCACAGGGTTATTTTTCAATGTAATATATGAGCATTTCTGCCCTCTGTGGATAATAAAAGGAATTTTTACATGACAGGAGGGAGATACTCTGTCCCCAATGAGATTACACTGCATTAAATCATTTAATAGAGAAGTGTTTGGTAAAGCAATTGAGACATTGCCACCAGTGAGGTGGTCACCTTGCAAACCTCCCTCAGAGCTGGTGTGAGGGACAAGGGTGATATCCCAGAGCCTGTTTTGTAGTCAGGGCAACAGAAACAAAATTAAAAGGCACTAATTTATTGTGCTCTCCCTTGGGAAGTCTCTCAGCAAGTGAAACCAGCAGATACTAATGCAATTTATTTTCGTGACAACTGAGTAGAGATTGAAATAAAACTTTAGAACTTCCTTTGAAATATTACTGGCATTACTTCTGTCTTTTCTAACAGCAGAAATGTTGCATGTAATGCTGTTGTTTGGAATGCAAAAAATCACCCAGTGGGAGCCCAAATAGATTACATTCTACAGTGGCAGCTCAGAAATAATTCCTGACAGTGAATTCCACCCTGTCTGGAGTGATCTGGGTGCTGATGAGGAAGGATCTCAGTCTTTACTCAGCAAGCAGAATAATATGAGTTTGCTCTAATAGACAAAATAATCAGTTGTCAGTGAAAGTAATTTCGTTCTTGTTTCTCTTAATCATTTTACAAGGAATTTTCTCTGCCTGAGACAGAGTGGGACTGCTAAAGGGTCATTGTGAATTCCTGTGTCTGAGTGGTGAATATTCATCCAACCTGACATCTCTGACCACTGGGAGGGTGGGGAGGCCCTGGCACAGGTTGCCCAGAGAAGCTGTGGCTGCCCCATCCCTGGAAGTGTCCAAGGC